GGAAAGTGGAGATAATTTTAGATAGTAGAGCTAAATGCCTTTACCAGAACCAAGCTCCATGAGAAAGATATTCCTTACATTTGAAAGACAGTTCATGACTTCTCTCCTTGAGAGACAGATATTATAATTCACAATTTTGAGGAAATGAGAGTCAGAGACAAAGTGAACTGCTCAGAAAGATAAAATTAACTGCCGCAGAGGTAGTTGGCAGTGGAATGGGACTCAGTATTCTTATTGCTTGAACTCTCCTTCCCTCTATGGTAATGTTAGGTCTCTTGGTGTTGTCAAGTCACCTATTTATTTTACTTTGGCACAACTTTCTCATTATTATGAAATGTGGATATAAAAGGTGAGAAAACTTAGTAAACCTTCTTTGAACTGATATCTTATTCTTCTCTGAACTGACACCACTCTGAAGAACTCTTTAAAAACTGAGTTGGGCAGAATGGCAAACCCGATTGAAATAAAAGTAGGCTATTATTTTAAGTATAACTGAACCTATATCCTAATCAAACACAGCTTTGTTAAACATATATAAAATGATATGATAGTAATGCAGCAATTCTGTCTTTTATACCTATAAATTTCAGAGATGCAGGAGCAAAAAAAATCATAGTTTAAAGACATGAAACTCTTGCTTCAAATAAAAATATTTTGTAACATTGTATTCTTTTTTAATCTATGGAAGTCATAAAAAATATAAGGCATTTTTCCTCAACACATTTATCTATGTAGTATTGCTGTGAGGATTTGGGCCAGAGAGCCTTAGATTTTATTTCTGCTCCCTTTACTTATTATAGGCCCCAAGTTAAATTATTTAATCTCTGAACATTTTCATCATTTGTAAAGCTGAGATAATAATACCTCATACATACTGCTATCATATTATTAAAGAAAATAAAACTATACAATCTCTAATCAATCATCTAGCCAATACTACTTCCTTAATATTTCTCAAGACTGTCCATTACTCTCTAACCCCACTGCCTTTATTTTAGTTCAGCTCACACTTGGAATATTATGTAGTCCCTCAGCCTCCAGTCTAGATCCCATGCTTAGCCATTTTCTACTTTGCAACTACTAAAATATAAATTTAACAATGTTACTTTCAAACTTAAGACCCTTTAAGGGCTTGTTGCTGCCCTTAGGATAATGTCTAATACCTTGACTCAGATATCCAGGCCCTACAAGATTTGATCTCTTTAAGTTGTCCACTCTTGTCCCATGAACTCTCTTTCCCCACATCTTTGCATAGCTCACTCTAGCCAAAAAGAACTGCTTGCAGGTTCCTCAAAGATTCAAACTCTTGCCCCCAGGCCTTGTATACATATAGCCTGCCTAGCTGACTTCTATTTATCCTTCGGTCTCTGCTTAAATAGAATCTTCTCCAGGAGGCTTTCCATGATACGGTTAAATGTTCTACCTATGTTCTTCCACACTACCTTATTGTGGTAATTGTAGCACATTTTAACTATTTACTGGTCTGTCTCTACCACTATACTCTGTGAGGGCCAAAACCATGTCTTATTCACCCCGTGTACCTATTTCCTAGACAGAATGACACATTTTTAACATTTAAATTATAATAATTACTGAAAAACAATAAATATTACTTTCTTTAATGCACTACTTCTTCTCTTCCTTTGATACTGTTTTCACCATGTTATTCCATTTCTCAGGAACTTTCAGTGGTTCCTTATTTCCTATCTTATCAAGTTGAAAATCCCTCTGCCTGGATTTTTCAGCCTTTCACAATCTGTTCCTCATATTAAATTTCCAATCTTATTTCCCAATATGCCCCACTATGCACCTTTTTTGTGGTCTTATGAATATGGTGTATCCGGGCCTTTGCTCCTATTGTCTGTCTCTCTTGGAGTAGATTCCTTTCTTTCTATTACCTCTCCAAAAAAATTCTATCCATCCTTCAAGTACCCTCTTTTTATGAAGCCGTCTTTGATTTCTTTGACTAATTGTCTTTATATGTTAACACTCACAGACCCAGGAGATTTTCTAATAGGAATAGACTTTAAAAATATACTCATCTTACTCTGTTTATATATGAACCTATCACTATGGTGGCATCTAACACAGTGCTGAGCTCAGAAAAGAGGCTCAATAACTACTCAACTAATTTTAAAGTGGTATGTCCCATCTAAAAAATTATATAATCTAGGTCTATAGTTGTTTGAAATATGTGGTCATTAGTTTGAGGTGACAGACTATGAAAAAAATTTAGATTTTACAACATTTAGAAAATAGTTAATATATAGTATAGTAAATGGTGTGGTGGTGGGTAGTCAGGGGTTACAGTTAGCTTAAGACATTTCAGTTATTCAACCTGGACTAACCTAACCTTACCAATGAAATCTTTTAAAAATAAAGAGTTTAGGCAGAAGGCTGTTCACTGCCAAATCACTTTTTATCACTGCAAAATTCAGTTAACTGCTCCACAGAGATTCCCTTAAATGATATTCAGAACATCATGGCAAAGAAGAGGCAATCAGTTTCCTATTATTTTTTTAAAGAACATTCTCTTTCTTCCCTTTCTACTTCTTGCACTGCCCCTTCCAATACATTTCCTTTAAATAATTTAAATCACCTTCTAACCTCTTTAAGGTTACATGTATCAATGAGGTAAGTTATGTTAGAAACCTTGTCAGAATGTACTGCTCTGATCTTTTCTGGTAGACATTTTCCTTGATACCTCCCCAAAACAGCTATTTAGCTAATCATAAACCAATTTTCAACAGAACTTGTTATTCAAATAAATGTGATACTTTGTGAATATAATATTCCCTGGATAGAATTTGAAAACCTCTGAACTGGGCCAGAGTTTCCTCTGTATTTTGTAGCAGGCCTAATCTAATTCTGACCATTGTTTAACCTGCAGCAGGGACACTAGTAGACTGATTTTGGGAGTCTTGACATCAGGAGATTAGATTCTAGCTATTTTTGTGATCAATGACTAGAAGTATTATCAAAACAAGTTTTCTAATATATAAGCTTTTTGAAGGCAGGAACCAGTTTGATTTTTTTTTTTAAAATTCCTAGTGCATAGTATAGTGCCTGATACATAACAGGCACTCAAGAAATCTCTGAACTAAATGAGTGGATAAATTAGTACAAAGAGTGCACCCAATAGAGGACTCATAGTTTAAGACTGCACTGACGTTATGGGTTGAATAGTGTCCCCCTTTCCAATTTATATGTTGAAGTGCTAACCTCCAGGACTTCAGAATGTGATTTTACTTGGAAATAAGGTCATGTAGATATAATTAATGTTAATGAAGCCATAACTAGAGTAAGGTTGGCTCCTAATCCAACATGACCAGCACTTATTTAAAAAAGGGAAATTTGAACACGGAAGTACACGGGGAGAACAGCCATGGGAAGATTGGAGTTATGCTGTCACAGCCAAGGAACTTCCAGGGGCCAGTAGAGAGGCATGGAAGGGATCCTTTCCCAGGTCTTTAGAGGGAGCATAGCCCAGCCTACAAATTAATTTCAGACTTCTGGCCTCCAGAATTGTGAGACAATAATTTCCGTTGCTCTGAGCCACTCAGTGTGTGGGTACATGGCTACAGCAGCCTTAGGAAACTAATTCGGTGTGTAAGATTATTTTGAGGCAAACAGGAAAATCATCTTCATATTGGAATAGAGGCACCTATCTTGTGCATCAGAAAAGTCCATTATCTTTGACTTCTTAATTGCATTTTCCTGTTTTACCAAACCTATCTTTTTACTTATTGTGTTTCATTTCTGTTTTATAAAAATCACATAAAATCTGTTCAGCAAATGACAGGGCCCCTTCTGACTTGGGTGCTTGTAATATTAGCCATACAAACAGAAACTGATCTGTGAGAGTGGGACACGAATTAAAAAAAAACAAAAAGAAAAAGGAAACCCTTTCTGAACCAACATTGGATTGAAAAAGTTGAACCGGGAAAGAAACCTCAATTTCGGCTATTCTTCCTCCCACAGGTTGTACTGAGTGAGCCCCTCTCCCCGGCAGGCCTGGGGCGCTGCAGTCTCGGGAGAGCGGCCGGGCTGCTCGCCCGTCGTACAGGGGCGGGCGGGGCGGGGCGAGGGTGCGGGCCGTCGCGGGTGTCCTCCGGCCTCCTCCCCGAGGGCAGAGGGCGCGAGCCAGCCCCGGCCTCGCGCGTGCCGGCCGGGGGCGCCCTCCACAGGAGCGCCCCGCTCCGGTCCCCGCCGCGGTTCTGATTTCGGAGAATGTCGCCGCTTCCGCGTTCACAGGAGCGGGGTGGAGCCCGACGGCTCCTTGTCAAAGGGCTTTCTAGCGCCCCCGGGGAACGGGGGCCGCGCTCCCCCAGGGGAGGACACCTGCCGAGGAAATTGCGGGCGGGCACCCGAGCCGGCCGCCGGACCCCGTCCCTAGACCGGCCGCCCCGCGCCGCGCCGCTGCGAGCGCCCTCCCGGCAGCCGCCCGGCCGCGCCCAGCACGCGTCCTCAGGTGGCCCCGGAGGCGCCGGACTGACGGCCCGCGCGCCCTCCCCAGCGTCGGCGCGGGAGTCCGCTCGCTTCCCAGCGCCCTCAGGGCTCCGAGGCGGCCCGGCGTCTCCTCCGGCCAATTCCCGCCTGTGCAGCCGGCGTCCTGTCAGGAACGCGGGCCCGCGTTCCGGGAGTGAGTCGGCGGGGACGGGCGGGGCGACGAGCCCGGGGAGAGTCCCACGGTAGCAGGTTGAGTTCGGCGTGCCCACCCCTGACCCTCTCCGGGCCCGCCTCCGCCCCTCAGACGGCCGCCATCAGGCTGCTCCGCGGCAGCTGCAGCCCGTCCGCAAACACACGCCCACCCGCACGCTCAGCCGCACACGCGAGCACAGACCGCACTGGGCATGCGCGGCGGGGAGGGCGGGGCACCCGGGCCGCGCGTCGGGGCCGGCGCTCCTCAGGCCGGCTCGGCGCCTCCGCCGCCGCCCGCCGCTCGGAGCCGCGCCCGCGCAGGCTGCGCCGCCGCCCGCCGCCCGCCCGCCGCCCCGCCCGCCGCTGTCCCGCCGCGGCCGCGCCGCCTGCAGCAGCTCTAGCTGCTCCTCCCCGGCGGCCGTCCCCCGCGGGTCCCTCCCTGGCTGCGGGAGAGACGGAGGTAGAGGGAGGACACAGAGCCGCGCCGCCCGCGCCGGAGACCTTCGCCTCGCCCCGCCGGCTCCGCACCCCGGGAGGACCATGGGTAAGTCATCCTTCCTCGCCGTCATCGCCTGACATTTTCCTCTTCCCCGGCGTGCTGCCGGGTGGGCAGCGTTTCTCGCGCAAAGTTGCCGGGTTTCCCCGGTCCGCGGTGCGAGGCGGCGGCTCTGCCTCCGGGGCCGGCGGCGCGCGGGCGCGCGCCAGGTGCGGCGGGAGGGCCGGCGCGGGCGGGGTCGGCCGCGGGGCCACGGCGCCGCCGTCCCCTCCTCCACCGCGCCCGCCTCGCCGGCTCGCGTCCTCCGCTCCGGCCGCCGCGCTCGGGAGGCCGCGCCTCCTTCCCCCGCGGGAGACCGCCCGGTCCAACTTCTTCCCCGTCGGCGCGACCTCCCCTCAGCCCGCGCGACCTCCCCTCAGCCCGGGCGACCTCCCCTCAGCCCGCGCGACCTCCCCTCAGCCCGGGCGACCTCCGCTCGCCCGCGCCCGCCCCCCGGGCGGCAAGTGCGGGCAGGTAGTTTGTGAGGGCGACCTTACGGCCGGCGCGGAGATGGCTGTCCGCGGGGGAGCGGACGGCCTCAGGGCGGAAAGATGACTTGCCGGAGGCCACGAGGAGCGTGAGGCCGGGCGGAGCCGCGAGCTGCGAGCCGGGGCTGGCGACAGCACGGGCGATGTCCCCGCGCTCAGCCCGTCTGCCCGGCCCCTCCGCCTGCCTGCCCGAGCAGGAAGCTGCGCCCGGCAGCGGGTGTTGCCGAACTTGATGCCGGTTGTCCCCTCCCAGCTTCCCTGCCTCCGTCTGCACAGTCTGATTCTGGTCCCTTTGTATTTGTAGTTAATCTGGAGAGATTGGTCTGAATAACAGATTTAAAAGCAAATATGTTTTATCAAACTATATGTAATTTAATCTAAATCTTTCTATCATCTTGCTTCGCTGTTACATTTGGTAATCACAAAAACGTCAGATGAATGCTGTTAATGTAATTAAAACCCGAAAGTTTCTTTTAATAGTAGCAACTTGGAATACACTACTTCTGCATGCTCCCCGGTTTGCTTCCACTCCTGTCTATCATAATTTCCTCTTTTTTTAAAATTTGCTCCGTTGGCATCTGTCAACTTGGACTTTTCCCACCCCTTCTGTGCGAGTTATCTTAAGCTTGAGATGAGGGTGGTCCTTTCATCTGTCAGTGCAGCGCCCAACACTTCTAGAGTTAGGTCATGGCAACTCAGAATCTTCAAGGAAGTATCTAAATCTAGAAATGGTGTTGATGAAGCTTCCTGGAAAAGCAAATGATTTTTTCATTTGCTCCAAGCTCTGATTCAGACCACTTTGTGAAGAGGCCGGTGTTGGAGGAGGTGGTGGTTTGAATGAAATATGATCCAGGGTCCTGAATTTTATTTTCAGTTGTTCATTTGCTTCAGCCTTTTAATGTGAGTACTATTGATAAGCTGAACGAATTTCTGTAAAAATAGGGTGGCCCATTTATGTGTGCCTACTCTTTCTCTAGAAGTAGAATTTTAAATATTAGATTGTTAGATATACCATGTCTTTCCTTTGAAAATACACAGATTTTCTTAATTATAGGCTACAGGTATGGCCTGGAAAATACATTTCCCCATGTTTCAGGTGCACTTACTTAGCCCATTTAACTAAAATTTTAACTTACGTATTGAATTAGTACTTTCTCGGGGGAAGAAATCCAATTCTGTTGCAATTCTAGTGAATAAAAATACGTAAAATAAATGAAATTATCTACTTAAAATAATCTTAAATCCTTCATGCTATGGCTTGATTTAAAAAGGGGGGTCTACACTGGGAAGAACATAAGAAAAATAAATAATAAAAAAATAAAAAATGGGAGACAATAGAAACTCATCTCTCATTTTGAAACCTTCTCCTGTACTCTTTGGTTAATCTCTCCTCATAGCACTGTTTGTACCTTGACAGAACCTTTTTAGCACTTACATAATAATCTACCTTATAATGGAGTTGTTTGTGTGTATGTGTGCGTGTGTGTGTTGTATATTTAATCATGAGTTCTAGAGAATTAAAATTGTTTTATTTCCCTTCACATAGTAGGCATTCATTAAATCTTTAGTGAATTAATTGAACTTAACACCTATTTATTATTTGCAGCTTGACCCTGAAAACATGGGCTCTGAACAAACATTTGGGTTGGTAGATATTATGGCGGTGTGGCATATGCGGGAACAAATAAGTATAATTGTACAGTGCCATAGTAACTATGGCTTCTTTTCCCTTAGAAAAAGCTGGGTTGTCTCTGAAGTGTGGGTTTTCAGTCAACCTGAAGTAACCCAGTTCCTTCTAAACTGCTCTTTTCAATAGTAAGGTGGTTTCATGTATGATCAGTAGGTACATATAATAATGTAAAATTGAAACTTTGGAAAACAGATTTATATCTGAGCCAAGGAAATTATTGTAATAATTGATATACACATAAGAAAGTAGGTGGTATACTGGTTAATTGTAGGGGGAAAAAAGCACTTTTTAATGTGTCTTCTCAAGAAATAAGGTGATTTTTTAAAAAAAGATATTCTCATGGCAGTGATTTTCTTTAAGGAAAGTAAAGTAAAATTTCTTTATAACCTATGGATCATAGCTATTATTTTATATATATGTTTTATTATAAATTTAACATATTTAATATTTATTGAATGTCAACAATATCAATGTACTGTGGGAGGACACAGATGAATAAGATGTTTAATGTTTCAGTTGCTTATAATCTTAATAGGAATGGCATAACACATTCACAAATAACTATAATAGAAATAAATGTGTAAGTGATATAAAAGACCTTCACATATATTACAGATTCAAAGGATGAAGAGACGGTTTTAGAGAATGGTGTTATATGAACCAAAGGTTGGTTAAACTGAAAGGTAGAAATGAGCCTGTTAATCAGAAAGGGGTTGGGAGAAGGGAAGAAATGACATAAATGAAGATAGGGAACATTTGAGGAGTATCCAGGATATGATTGAATAGCCATATTGGGCTAGAGCAAAAGGTAAGGAAATAGTTGGTGACAGACATGAAAAAGTAATACAGTGGTAATGGTTAATGACCAGATAGTGGAGGACCATAAATGCCAAGCTGAAGAAGAGTTTGAACTTGGTTTATCTATTGAGGGGCCACTAAACATTTTCATGCATTTAAGCAATGGATTACATCTATAGGAAAATTAATCTGTCATTTGAGTACAAGATGGATTCGATGAGAAACTGGAGAACACCTAAGAAGGTGGTGGTTTCAGTTTGAGTGAAAATATTTAATAGCCTGAACTAGATTGTGGCAATGGGAATAGAATATTGCAAATAAAGAACAGGGTTTACTTGTTACCTGATTGTGGAACTGAGAAAGGAGTCACAGGTTTTAGCCTGGATGATAATGAGAATGTGGAGACCTGTTACTATATATTCAATCCATTGGAAGAGGAAACAAATACTGAATTTTTGGACCAGTTGAGTTTGACCTTTTTGGTATGTCATTTAGTCTCTGCTCCTTGATGACAGGGGCTTTGTCATATTAGGATTTGAGTACGTATCTAACAGTAATGTCTAACACTAATGGCACATAGCAGCTGTACAATAAAAATTTGTTGACTGAAACTAGGTCAAAAGTAGTTAAACAATTATTTTAACTCTCAGGAGAGTTAGGATTTGAACTAACTGGAAGTTATCCCCAAATATCTTGAGATGGTATTTGAAGTTAGATGAGAGGAGGAGAGTCAACAAAGAAAAAAAAAATTTGTCCAAGGTAAGAATTGTGAGGAATGCTCCCATAATTAGGGAGAAGAAGTGGCATGATTTGATGCTGAAAAAGACAGAAATAGGTAGTAACAAAAGACTAAAAATGGTATATGGTTGGTTTCAGTAATGAGTGAATGGTTGATGACATCTGTTGCTTCAGAGCAGTAGCACTGAGAAAAGGCTCTAACTTGATGTGGTTTGGTTAGGGTATTACCCAGTATATTTTCCAAAAATGCAACTTTAAAAGATATAGGCGATGTAGAGGTCAGCTGTAAAAGCTCAGTGACTAATGAGTAAGTGGAAACAGTTCACTAGGTACAGTCATGCTGTATTTCTTGCCCTGTTTAAAAATCTGTAAGAAAGCATAGATTTTTAAAAATAGTTTTTAAATGTTGCATTTTACATGGAATGACACATGTTGTTTTCTTGCCTGAGAATAATGTGTAATTTCACCATAGTGTCTCACATTTTTCTTTTATGTTCCTTTTTTTTGTCTTTGTGACTTGTGTAGTAAAATTTTTATTTTTATAATATCTGTCATGCAGAGTGAGTTTAGAATTTATAATTTTATAATTTTGCACAGAATTCTGCATAAAGAGAATACTTTTTACTAATGAATGGTTTTATCATTTAAAATATACTGTTAGACTTCGTGAATTTGGGACTTCTCTAGTTTATATGTATGCTTCTAATTATACTCTTAATTCCTGGAGTTGTAGTTTTCTCTGTAGATATGTATCAAATTTATAGATGGTCTTTCCTTTTGTTTTATTTCTAAGTAGACTTAGAGAATGTTTTTCATGGATAAATAAATATTAGTTTTACTTGCTCTTTTCAAGTCAAGGTAGGATGATAAAATATTTTTGATAGCTGATAATTACTAGATTTATAATTTTAAAAGTATATAGATGATAGATTGACAAGTTCAATGATTTTTCTTATGTTGGCATTGTACCTGGTTTTTGTATATGTCCAATTTTTTTTATATGGGAAAATGGCTAAATTTTATCTTGTTAGAGTCATGTTTTGAAGTCTCAAGTACTAACTACATTTGGATAACCACAACAGCATTAATTCACTTTGATAACCAAAGAGTTTTTGTTTTCATAGTGGAATCATGGAATTTTTAGGGAACTTTGAGGAAAGGTGTCGTTGCTTTCTCCAGAGATTCCTGATCATTTGAATTTGAAGTTGGGTAATTCTGGAATTATTGGTTATGACAGCAAGAGCTATTAGAATTACCTAAATTTTTAATATCCAGCCATGAACATCAGGAGGAAT